ACATCTACATATACATATGCATATGCATATGCATATGCATACACATCTACATATGTATATATATATATATATACACATACATATACATACGCATATATATCTATATGTGTTATACATACACACCTGTATCTATATACGTCTTTATACATATATATATATATATATATATATGTGTGTGTGTGTTTATATATATATATATATGTATACACACACATACATCTACACTTAGGTATACCCAACACTTAGGTCCGTATAATTCTGAAGACCAACCCAGAACCCACTGAACCCCGAAACTACGGCCACCTTCGAACCGCCAAGCTCCAAAAGAACCGTAGATCCAAAAGCCTGGACCCAATGAGACCTACCTGTTTAGCGCTCCGTATTTCGATTTTCGTATAGAAGTCGTTAGTCAGGGTAGGTTCTTTCGGCTTAAGGTAAACCCGAAGCCCTATCTACCAGAATTATGATTCTCTCAGACAAGAAGGGTATAGCTATTTGGGGTTAGGGTAAGCCCCAAAACCGTATCTAAAACCCTACAGGGTCCAGTGAGCTGGAAGACCTTGCCTTCCAGCTACACGCTGCAGAGCGAGCTCTTGGCTCAGAGACTCTTCTAGGGAGTCTAGGGTCCAAGGCTTAGGGTGGTTATCCCCGCTGCTGTCCAGGGCGAAGGGTTGGGGTTTGAAGTTTGCTGTCCAGGGTTCACGGTTTAGGGTTCAAAGTTTAGGGTGCAGCGTATTGGGTTTAAAGTGCAGGATCTAGGGTTCAGTGTTTCGGGTTTGAACTTGGGGTCGAGGGTGCAGCGTTTCGGGTTTGAAGTTTAGGGTTTACGGTCAAAAAAGAAACCCCTACAGCCCAGCCTTAAAACCCGAAACCCTGAATAGGCTAACTTTACGTCTCTATGAGAACTCAGAGTTGACCGCTTGGCAAAGACCTTGCAACAGACGAGGGTTATGCAGCTATTCTGGGGCGTGGTGTTTGGGATTTCAGCGCTTTAGGGTTGGGGGCTCCAGTAGCTTTCTGGCTTTGGGCGGGTTTGGGGCTTTCGGGGTGTGTGGGGTGCTGGTGGCAGACGAGCTATGTCCTGTTTCAGGGTTTTCATCATCAGGCTAGCGTAAACACGAAGCTCCAACCCGAAGCCACTAGACCCTTTTGCGACTGCTTCCGGGACGTTGCTTCGTGCTAATTCAGTCCCACACCCAGGGAACTAGAACAAAAATCCACGTTCGCACAGCAGGGTCCCGCAAACAAGATTTCTGCATAGGCACTCCTGTAAGCCAGGTATATGCAATCCTCCCTGAAACCCCGAAGCCCTCGACAGCCCTGAAGCCTTAACATACACCCGCCCAAAATCTAGTTAGTGGTTCTTGTTTGGCAATTGAAACCGAGGCGGTAAGAGACAGTACAGCCTTCGGTGGTATCAGTAACGTGTTCGAAATGTCAGGTCGGAAGAGAATGTAGGAACTCATCGTATGGCGGCCGCGCAGAGAGCCAGCACTCAGTACAAGCTAGGGGGGTTTGGGGGGAATCATGGTTGTGCATTCGCTCGAAGCGAGCAAATTGCGCAAAACTGAACCCCCGCAGTTCTCCTACTTGGAGGATCATGGGACTTAGTAAGTAAGCTTATAAGTACCTTATTTGGGGTTAGAAGTAGTTATAAGTAGAGTTGCCCTAATCATACCCCTAGTTACTAGGTCCCATGATCCTTTAAGTAGACGTTCAAGGCTTCGACTTTGGCACCATGCTTGCGCCCCCGGAAATACTAGACTCTACGTAGTGAAGGCCAGGCTGGATTGAGTGACTTACCAGTAGTAATAAGGCCGAAGCCTCTACCCTTCCCTCCCCAGAGACTCCAAACCCCCTTAATGAAGGAAGGTACCTTAAATTGTAATAGGAACCCTAATATGATTTAAGGCATATATATATATATATATATATTCCTTAACGAAGGGGTTTTGGAGTCTCTGGGTCAACCCCAACCCAACGGCCCAGAGCATTGCGACGGCTTTCCAGGCGCTCCTGAGATTGCACAAGTCCAAGCCGGCATCGACCCGAGCGCACTTCGGGTTAAAGGTTTAGAGGTTTTGGGCTTACCTGGACCCTGAAAGCATGTAGAAGAATGGTCTTGTAGAAGTGTTGGGCCATCATCTTGCCTACTTTTGAGTGTTTAGGGCTTAGGGTTTAAGAGTTTAAGCTGGTGTTGTTGACAGTGTCGGGTTGTGACCCTTAACTTGTCTGGTTTTTATTGCAGCACTTATGTAACCCAACAGGTTAACCTGTAGTTCCCCCAGGCTCAAGGCTAACCCTAATCCGTAAGGGCTGAAGTTCTTCGGCCTGGTCGTTTTACTTATAGTCTCCATTGTAGTTCCTTTTCGGGGGTTACTTTTAGGATCCTTAATATAAGACTAGTTAAACCAAAACAGAAACTACAATGGAGACTATAGGTACTTATGATAACCGGCATCCGAAGCCCTTCACCCTGCATGCAAGCATATAGTCTGTAGAGCGTGGCGAGGTACGGACTTTGAGTTAGGTGCAAAGGCCTCAGGTGTAGGTTGGACGTTAAGGTATAAGCTTTGAGCTCTCACGATCAACTTAGGAGCTTGTCGTGACCGAGAATGCGCCCTGCATTCTTGCTTGGCGAATGCCAAGCTTTTACCTGTTTGGGTTCGTATCGGATAGTATTGATCTGAAACTGTGAATTTTGATTTCTTTGAGTATTGGGGCATCAGGTATATCGACTCATTGATGAACCCCAGCCCGCACAGAAAGTCGCCCCCCGATGCCCTAAATGCCAAATCCTGATTCCCAAACCCTAGGTCGAGCAGATGGATACAGCCTTGCAACCAACACAACACGATACGCGGAAACCAAAGATGAGCATGATTCCTTACTCCAGGAGTTACGGATTTGCGGTCAGCCTGAAGCACGAAGCGGTAAAATCTAAGCCCTAAACCCTTTGCCTAAACCTACATGACCTTAACCCCCCCAAACCTGCCTTTTTAAGTATTCGTACAAGGATGTCCTAACTCAAGGAACCCTAGTAGTTCTGGTTTTGGGGTTCTGGTATCCATGGTCCATAAAACCACGGACCCAAAGCCAGACCTCGATCCGACTTCCTAAAGCACATCCCACCGTCATCTATATTCAGTACCCAAATTGAGGCCCCAAAGTAGTTCCTTTTCGGGGTTCGTAGATAGAATCCTATAAGGTAATCCCAAAAAGGAACTACTACGGGGCCCCTGGGTAGCCATCTAGGCTTTCAGCATAGCTTTAACAATGTTAAGGCTGATGTGACAAATGTGCACATAGGTACATAATACGGTAAGGCAACAGCAAAATTACCTATAGTCTCCATTGTAGTTCCTTTTTTTGGTTTAGCCAAGTATATAGTAAGGATCCTATAAGGTAACCCAAAAAGGAACTACAATGGAGACGACGGGTTTAGTCCAATCTAGCAAACCCTAAGGGTCCACGTACCCAAATAGTATATGTCTACTTTGAGCCCCATGTACCCATATAAGGAGTACTTTAAGGTCAATGTATATACTATTTAGGTACATGGACCCTTAGGGAAAATTAGCCGAACCTGTCAGAAAGGTCATGCCTGTCTTCAGCGCAGTCGCTACGCTTTGCCTCGTCGCCTCCGGCGGTGCCCGGCGAAATCGGGGCCGACTGGAGGCAGGGCTTAAGGGCTTAGCCTGAAGGCTGCGTAATCGTATCTCCTTTGTGGTCCAAAACATACCTATAGTCTCCATTGTGGTTCCTTTTTGGGATTACCTTACAGGATTCTATATACGAACCCCGAAAAGGAACTACTTTGGGGCCTTAGGGTACTATGATGCATGCAGAGCCCATGAAATGAGTAAGGCTCCGAAGGCAGTAAAGATTGAGTGTTTATAAGGCTCAGACCAGTCCACCAGTTCCGCAAAGGCTGATCTGCACTTATTGTAGTTGTTCCCTACCTGATAAGTATCGACTACAAGAGGCAAAAGCAAGTAGCCCTATAATGCTGCGTTCCCCCAGCCAGTTCCACAGTCGCCGGCTTGGATATTCGGACTCGTTGGTTTGCGAACTTCTCCAAACTTAAGCCCTGCACAATGAACTGCAGACCCAACAAACAACCCAAACCACAGTCACGGCTTGTGATTCTGAGTATTTGGCGTTCTTGGCCATCTGCGGATGTCCTCAACATTTTCAATGTAGGATACGTTCCTGCGTCGGCTGTTCCACACTGTAACTTTACATGCCCTTCAGGTTACGTTGATGGTTGGAAGAATTGCTCGAAGAGTATCCTTACAATTGCAGTGTAAGGTCCGTTCTAGGGCTGATGAGCCCCGGGGCCCCAAACACCTCATAAACCCTCCTCAACCCTACACTCCCCTACACCCCAAACCCTACGCCCTGCACCCTAAAACACCTTACTAAACCCGGAAGCTCTAAAACAGAGGGTTTTCCTGTGTGCGCATTGCCTGCAGGAGCTTAGGAAGCGCGTGAAAAACCTTGCGGCGTCGCCCCGGCAAGTGCTAGGAGCCCAGTGTTTGTAGGTTCGTTTGGGTTTGGTGTTGAGCTTGGGTTGCTAGTGTATATATTTGGGTTTGGAGACATATTCAGGCTTTTGGGTTCGGGGGTTTTGTGATCAAGCGTTCTTGTCTTTTGGGCTTGAGGCGAATTTGGCCTTAGGTTTTATGGAAGGTCAACTTTATGAGGTTTGCAGCTCAACTTAGGGGTTTCGTGAATCAAAGGTTTTGGAGGTTTTAGGGTCTCTTGTGGAGCAATGAGTACCGGACAGTGCATTCGCATATCATGAATACATGCACAGACGCAAACACGCATGTGTTCATGTAGCTGACTTGTCGACCCTATCTTGAGGGCTTGCGAGGCAGCAATCTCAGATTCATGGATCGTGCTTTACAACACCAGCTCTATAGTGTTTATGAAGTAAGTTCTTGGCCTTTATCATGAGATGTACAGCCGTAGACATATCTGTTTACCTCTGAAGGATGTTGCGCGCAGCTCCATCATGCGGAGATGGCAGGACTTTGTGCAGTATTCGCGCAGTTTCGCTTCCAACTCTGACATGCCCTTGCCGGATATCTGACCGTGTTCCAAGCGTGTGGCATTTCGATTTTTGGCGCCGCCTGTCACTGGCTGGCTGCTGTTGGGTGCGACTGGGAGGGAGTATCCGTCGGCGTCAAGATGTGCATTGCCGCAGCTCTTGTCCTGGCATCCACCTTATAGTGGATGGAGACTCGCATCTTTGTCATAGTTGGTTAGCTTATATACAGTTTTATGGGTACTTAAATCCCGATAAGGAGTGCACATGTAGAATATTGAGTACTATCCCAACCATGAACTAGGCATAATACAGAAGAGATCGCCTGGGCTTTGCAGAAGCTGGAGGTGGGGGCGGACCCGGTGACAGGGACACTCTTTGCAAGCCCTGGCCGGCTTCGAAATAAGAAGTGGGCGCAGTTTGTTCGTGACAGAGGTCTTCTGTTCCACGGTGTCGAAAAAACAGGTGGGAGTTTCCGAAAATATGGGGTACCTTATGTTGGGGCCCTTATAATCAGGATCTTACTATTTAGGGTACTATACTAGGCTCCCCTATTTTCGGAAATTCCCAGGTGGCTACAGTGATCCTACTGATGAGGCCATCATCAGTCACATGCGCAGGCTTGCCCTTCTTCCAGATGTGACCTGCATAGCCCTGCTGACACCCGACAGTGATTTCATACCCTGTGCGAAGCAAATTCAGGATACAGGTGGAGAGATTCGTATTCTAATTGGGGAGCCGAATCGGGATTCGATCACGCGGTACAGGGAAGCCGGATTTGATGTCGTAGAAGTTCCTCCTCGTCGTGAGCACGCAGGTTACAGAGTGCAAGCCTTCCTTTATAGTGATGGCACTGGCGCAGTTCATACATGCGAACCAATCAGAAGAGTGTACTGCGACAGTGAGACTGAGGCATTGCGAAAGTTCCTAGGGCAGCAGGGAGACTGGAAGGACTCGCACTTCCTTGCAACTTGCTTCGCCAAGCATTGGTTTGCTAGTTCTCTCGGAACTCTCACCGTTTTCCCCAGGCACAGCGCAATCATGCAGATGAGTAGGGCGGTATCGGCGGGTCGCTTGCAGCTGCAAGAGGCTGCCCGAACTTTAGCATATTTCTTCCCACTCGGTTTGTCATCGAAGAGAAAGAGAAAGAAATCTCAGAGAGTTGGTGGAGATCTGGCCTGGAAAGTTTCCAGAAGTACTGGACCATTTATGCTGCATGACTCTGAGACGCTCACGGTCCGTGCCTTGCAGAAACTTGGATACTTTGACGGAGTGTACAACTCGGATGTATCGGAGTCCATGCTGGTGTTTGCCAACATGTCCACGAACAAGCGGTTGTTGCGAGAGACAGGAAACCTGCCGGACGCCACAGATTCAGGGAGTCAACTGGATGCCAAGATCCGACAGGCCTTTCTTTCAAGCGCGACCGCCGGTCATTGGCAAGTACCGCCCAAAGACACGCAAGTGCGGAATCTCCTTTTTCGCGACGGGTGCCTTCCAGCTGAGAATGTCTCCCAAATTGTGATGCTGTCAGCAATGCAGCTCTACTGTCGTCGTCATGGCTTGCCAGCAAGGCAAACCTACCTGGGAAACGTCTGGCAGATAACCCAGCAGATAAACTCTGCTGATCCTGACCGCCGGGAAGTTGTAGGAGGTTTCTGATGTTTCGCGTGACGAGCAGCCTGCCATGCTTGATGGCAAAACAGCTGTCACCTGTCCTGCTTGAACTGTCAAGTAGCTGCCCATCAGAGATCTCCCCGGGTGGGGGTGGGGGTGTCGATGTGGGTGTGGGAACTGCTTTGCCTGGATGCCCCGACTGGATTTGAGGCGGTTGGTTTCGAAGCCAAACAGATGCACAACGAAGAGTGTGCCGATGCAAGCAATCAGATGTCTTCCGAGCCAGTCTTTGTCGTACAGGGCCTGAGGAGGCTAGAATCCAAGGTTGCCATTAAACTGCACCCTAAATTTCAAAAGCCGCAGTTTCAATCCGTAGCTCGGCCCAGTCTGGGTGTCTTAATTACTGCTTAGGCCCGGGCCCACTTTGCGAAGCTTAGAGAACTCTAACTCTGCAAAGCGCGTCAGTCCGACCTAGCCGACCTAGCTTCTGTGTGAGTTCTCTTGAGGTCTTTAGGTGTAGGTAGCACAGAATCAACTTTGCACCCCCTTCCGAATCCTCAGCATCACCTGTGTCACATGCCTGCAACGAACCAATGCGCACAATACTGCAAAACCCTAGCCCTCAAACCGTAAAACCCTAAACACTAAAAGCCTGTAAACCCCAAGCCATAAACCCAAATCTTGGACCAGAGCTGACATTGACGCCGAGACCCCGGAGCTCACTAGACAAGTAGGTAGCACCTTTATGTTAAGTAGGTTAGATATTCGGAATTCAGTGGTTGTACAAAGTTCATGAGCATGTCAGTTGATTGGAACAGGTAGCACTCAATGAAGTCGCGTTATGCGAAGGTATTGCGTGCACATCTGGCTTCTTGGATGATGTCCTTCGTTGGGGATTACTGACAGCGTGTGCAAGGCACCCGAGCTTGCTGACTTCGGCTTGCATTATGTCGTGAACCCCGCAACAAAGTCTTAACAGTGCCATGGACGGTTGAAGTTTTTCGGATCAAGTGCTAGCTTATTCTTGGCTTCCCCACTGTGGAGCCTAAACCCCACACCCGAAATGATCCCAGACCCTGAACCGCCTCTTGTTTTTGTTGTAGCGCTCATATTCGGAGTATTCTCTACTATCTTACTAGAATGAGCCTCTAGCAGACTCTAGCCATAGCCAATAGCAGAGCTCGAGGTTTGCAACTAATGCGATCCAGGAAACTGCTGGCAACCTACCTATAACATGTCCAAACGCGTTTCCTTGAATCCCCTTATGAATCAACACCCTGCTTGCAAGGTCTTTGATTCTGAACATGTTCTCGAAAGATCTCAAGAAGTTCCAGTCTGCGGGGCAGGTCGGTACTCTCAGCTTGGGGTCCTTGATTTGCAGCGCTGGCTTGTGGTAGTTGTGCAAAGGTGGGAACCACTAGGCCAAACCCGGCACCCGTCGGGTTAGCTAAGGCGAGGGATGGAGCAAAGGCTGTAGCACGTCTCTACAAACTGCGCCTAGAGCCGGCAAGTGCCAATGCACAGAAGAGCAGCGCACGAACCCCGATCTGTTTTGCTGAAGCGGGATTATAGTGAACCACGTGACCCCATGTACACTCGAAACTTAGGCATGAAGCCGCATGACCATGCAAACTCCCATCCGAAGCCACTCTTTAGAAAACCAACGGCAAACCCCCAACCTGAATGACTACTAGAGAAGCAAAAACCTGAACCCTTGAGTCCTGAAATGCCAATAACCAACCTAGACCCCTCAACTACCTTCTATGATACCCCAAATACCCACTACTGGGGACCAGAAGAGCTCTATTAACGGGCCCTTGGGGGGTCCTGGTTTTTTCTACACCATGAAACCCCCGGGCCTTGGCTTACGAGGCGCCGTTTGTGGATCCTCGTCGGATCGAAGCCCTAAACCCTAAACCCTGTGTAGGCTGGGAGGTTCGGGATTGGGGGGATTCGGTTTGAGGTTTAGCGCTTTAGAACTATATATAACTTCATCTTGTTGCGAAGGATAGTCACAAGTAATTCGGAAGACTGCCCACGGCCTCACCCGCAAACTAGCCGCATATTGCTGCTGTCACCGCAGGAAGATGGGGCCGCCGCTGGGATGCATCTTCAGATGGTTTAGGGTTTAGGGTTTAGGGTTTAGGGTTTAGGGTTTAGGGCTTAGGGTTTAGGGTTTAGGGTTTAGGGTTCAGATGTGAAGCTGTGGTAATGTGGCCATTCACAGGGTTCCTTAAGAACTGAGCTGCCCAGAAAGTATGTTCGTGGGCTATCTATGGCTACCAAGAGGTCTATACATCTGTAGACTTCATAAATAAGGGTTCGAGGTACTAGTACTAGTAACCCATTATGAAAAAAAGTCAGCTGGGTTGGCTTGAGCATTGCTGAGGTCATGTTCAATGAACGCCGAACAGCTACGACCCCAACCGTCGCCCCTCATCTTCGAAGGGCCACCCTGAGCCCACACAACCCCTGAAACCCACATGGCGCCAGGCCTGCAAGTTAGGGTTTCGGTGGATGAGAATGGGGCTCCTTAGGAATTCTGAAAATGGATTATGGTGTGGATCCTCGCAATATCTCGCAATGGTACCAGTAGTACAAATGCAGCACAAGCGTGTACAAGCTACCTGAAAAGGACCAATGACAAGGACCCTTCCTCCTAAGGCTCCTGTATCCATCTAGTATATACTCAGGCCTTAAAATACCTATATACGGATCCCTTTCAGGCTTAAGTACCTACTATACAGGTACGTGGAGCCTTTGGGTCCTCCAGCACAACCAGCACCCTTTAGCCTGCCGTGTCTCTGCGCCTCCCAGGACAAGTGGCTTCCGCAGATGCTGCGGCCTCGGTTTTAGGGTTTCGGGTTTAGGGAAATCCGGTTCGTGGTATTTTAATCTAGCTGCTTGTGACATGTCTATACAGGGCCCTATAGTACTCACACACTGCAAAATTGAGCTCCCTACTCCAATCCAGTGGAATCTTTGTCATAGATGCTATACCTTGGAAGCCCTTGCAACGAATGCTAAGCCTTAACTAAGCCTTATACTGCTGAACGCTATCGTTAGACCTTAACCCTAATTAAATCCCAAACCTGAAGACCCTTCTGAATAGTTCTGTTTCTGATAAGTTTTTAGAAAGCCCTATAAAGGCCATGCAAAGGTTCGAGCCAATGATTGCCTTAGAAAGTTTTAAAGCCGTACGAAGCTCAGGACTCAGGATTGACCCCAAAAAACTGAATCCTAACACCTATCCAAATGAGACGCCTTAGACTCTTCAAGCTCAGACCTCCTCCAACCCAAGAACATCCTTAAACCCTCAACCCTAAGCCCTTCTCGCAGTGAGATTCCTCCGTACTGCAGTCGAAAACCAAGGCGGTCAAGAGCAAACCTAGGCCCTTTAGACCCAAAGAAGAACCCTAAACCCTAAATCCGAAACCCCTACACCTTCAAAGAAAAACCCTAAATCCGAAACCCCTACACCCTCAACCCCTTACACCCCAACAAAAAGCGGCCTCAGGATCGAGGAGGTCATCGGCCCTGATGGAATCCTCGAGGGGCTGTGGGACATCGTGGAGCAGAGCGTGGAGGTCAAGGGGCATGAATAATCTTATATATATATATATATATATGTATGTATGTATGTCTCTATGTATGTGTGTATATATACATACACATTAACAGGGAGTGAGAGAGAGAGAGAGAGAGAGAGAGAGAGAGAGAGAGAGATGGAAAGAGAGAGAGAGAGAGAGAGCGAGAGAGACAGAGAGAGAGAGAGAGAGAGAGGGAGAGAGGGAGAGAAAGAAAGAGAGAGAGAGAGAGAGAGAGATGAAGGGAGGGAGGGAGGGAGGGAGGGAGTATGAGAGAGTTAGAAAGTTGCATGTTTCGAGGATGGGGTGTGTTTTGGTCTTCCAGTCCAAGAGGCCGTTATGTGAATCCTGAGAGCATCGGAGATGGGCCAAAGGGCTCTAGCCTGGTTTTTCGTGGAGAGGGGTGGGGTTCAGGGCCTATGGCTTCCGTCCCATCCGCCCAGCCACCAGCTCTGCACCACAGGCCTGGGATCTACTCGAAGATTTCCAGCTGCGGACGCGAAGGCCCTCGAGAGCAGTTGAGAGTTTGTGTTCAGAAATGAGGATGTCGCACATCATCATTCGGGTTTTGAGGCTTCGGCAGGCTTAGCATTCGGAGGGTTGGTTGCACCAGGCGACGTTTGAGGGAGATGCGTTGATTTACAGACCATAGAATCACTAAATTCCCACATTAAGCGTTGTGCGGCAACTGCTCTACTGTTGCCGTTATTCTTGCCGCTGTTGCTGCGGCGACGACGACCACGATGACCAGGAGGAGGACGACAGTGCCGACTACTACTGCTGTGGCTGCCACTGCCCATGCTTCTGCGTCTGCTGCTGCTGCAAAACAACAAGGCCTGTCCCTGTCACAGTGGTTTGAAATGCCGTCGACATGAATGTTAGATTCGGCCCGTAAACTCTCCACGATAAACCATGAGAACACAGGTCCCCACTGCATGCTTGTTTTGAGTTTGTCTTCTCTGGCAGACACTAATCTCAAACGCCAGACGCCCAAGAATGCAACGGAGAAGCTCTACAGTTCGGAGTTCATTGGGACAGGGCCGAGGGCCTGCCCATAGCCCCCCCTTTTTCAAGAAAGTGCTAGAAGAAACCATAGCAAGGAACCCCAGAGAGGTAGGGGGTTGGCCTACCAGCTGGGTGTAGGGCAGGCTCCAGAGTCCTATCAACCCTATAAATCCGAAGCCTCCAACGACTGAACCGAGAAGGTTTGTCGCGAATGTGCGTGACTCCCAGCAAAGCTCGGCTCAGTTGCGTACGGGCCCCGGTGTGGGAATTTATGCTTTGATCCTGGTCCACTGCCAGGGTTTCCCTAAACCCTAAACCCTAAACCCTAAACCCTAAACCCTAAACCCTAAACCGTGCTGCTTCAACCCTTAGCCCCCAATCTCCCAGACTAGCACCGACACCCCTTCTCGAAACTGTTATGTGGGCTGTACCCATAGGCCCCACACTAGTTCC